GCAGTTGGACGACGCTTACTTAGGTGTAGTGTGAGGTGGGTAGGGGGGGGTGGGGGTGGACGCGTGGGGATGTAGGGGCGGGGGGGGGCGAGGGGTGGGGGGGGGGGGGGGGGGGGCGGGTCGGGCTTGTGGAGGGAAGAGTGGTACTCGACTGAGAGGAGGGCCTTAGCAGGGGGATAGGGAAATGCTCAGTGGCGGGAGTGTGGAAGGGGTGTGATGTCGGAATGGAACTGGGGTTGGGAGTGAGAGGGATTGGAGCGGTTGTACGACGCTTGCTATGGTGGAGTGTGAGTTGGCTGGCGCGGACGGGGACTGAAGCGGACGCGTCGGGATGTAGGTACGGAGCGGAGCGAAGGTTGAAGGTGAGAGGGATAGGGGCGGTTTGACGACCTGTGCTAGGGTGGGGCGTGAGCTGGCTGGCGCGGACTGGTTACTGCAACTGACGCGTCGGGTTGTATGTGCGGAGCGGATGGGGAAATGGAGGCGAGGTGGAGAGGAGAGCCCGTATATATCGCAGACTAATAATGATAATGCTAATAATGGAATAGTTCCAATAACGCTGGACAGTGTGGGAACGGGTTGAAGAAATGTTTGATAAGGGTAGGAGCTAAGTGTGGGCCGGGTCAGTGTGGGGTTGGGTTTGAGATGGGGGTGGGTTGGGAGTGGTGTAGGATCTGGGTGTGATCAGTATGGGAGCAGGGTAGAGACTGCTTGGTTCAGGATGGGATCGTGGTATGGTCTGGTTGGGATCGGGGTAGGGGTGGGATGTGAGTTGAGTGGGATCGGGATAGGACGAGATGGGAGCGGGATGTGAACGGGGTAGAAAACGGGCTGGTGTGGGATCGGGATGGAGGTGGGATGAAATCGGGGTGGGCGGGGATGGAGGAGAGCGGGGATCGGGATGGGTGAGGTCCGGGGGCTGGGTAGTGGCGGGGTGGAAGCGGGATGGAAACAGGACGGTAGCTGGGTGGGACGGGATGGGGGCTGGATGGGGCCAGGATGTGATTGAATCGGGCGGATACTGTTGAGGAGAGTCGCCAGGGATGGTAATGGGGGGTGGGAGGGAACACAACGGTACTGGCGAGAATACGGTATTGGGAGGGTTTGGGTCGGGTCTGGGGTTGGGCTGAGATCGGAGTGTTAGCTAAGTGAGAGTGTGGTGGGAATAGAGTAGGATGGGGAGAGGGAAGGAAGGGGGGTCAGTGTAGAAATTGTGTTGGGGGTTGGGTGGTAGCGATATGGTGCCGGGTAGGGAGCAGGGTAGACTCGAGGCGGGAACGTATTTGTGTTAGGGAGGGGGTCGGGGAGGTGATGGGGTAGGAAAAAGGGGGGGCTGGAGCTAGTTGGGAACGAGATAGGGGGATGATCCGGGTGTGTACTTTCCCGGAGTAGGGGGCGTCGCGATTGCGTTGGAGGAGAGAGATGTGTGTGGGCTGAAGTGGGAGGGAGGTGAGGATCGAATAAATGTCGCGGGCCGATTCGGAATTTCGGTAGTGGTGATTCTTACTGGAGTTTGTGGTCGGGGGAGGGTGGTCGAGAGCGGGGCCTAGGGTAGGGAACGGAAGAGGGGAGGGGTGGAAAGAGGTGAGGGTAATAGGCAAGAATGGGAAAAGGGCAGCGGCTCGAGGAGATGGACTCGATATTTAGGGGGGKGGGGGGGAAGAAATCGAATGTAAGATTAGATGGCGATTAGCAGGGGAGAAGTCAGCAATTCTTTTGTTGGAGTCGTGGGCGGGGTGTGTGCGTAGAGGATCGGTGATATGGCGAGAAAAAGAAAGGGGGGTGGAGAATGGGTGGAGGGGGAGAGGCGAATTCGTTGTGGGGGGGAATTCAGTTTTGGTTAGCTCTCACTTTGTAGTAGTCTGTTCGTGCTGGGGTGTCCTGTTGTAGCAGGCTGGTGGTCTCGTTTGTCTGTCCTTTGTTCCTCGTCCGTCCTGCGGCGCAGCCACCGCGTTGTGCAGAAGTTCCTTGCTATTAGACGACGTCGACACTTGAGTGTGGCTTTGAAATCGGTCAAGAGCTGTGTTGTCGCCTAGCAAGTTGGTTTCCTCAACCTGGGTCCGACGTCCTCTGTTCGCCGGCAATTCTTCTCCCCATGGCACAAGAACCCACTTGGTACATTAATGATATCAGCCTTCTTTCCCCTTGGTAAAGACACGTTGGTGACCTAGGCGCGCGCGCGTCAGCTTTCTTCTCCGGAGTGTGTGGCTATGGCTGGGCAAGCTATGATTGAGTGTGGCGCGTGTTGTCGTTTCCGAATTCGGGTTCGACACAAGCGTTGTCGCGGCCCAAGCCCGCAACTTTCGAATTCGGATGTTCGTCGGGTTGGCGCCCTTGCGGGCGCGGGAGGCTGAGGAGCGTGTAGCGCAAAATTAGCGCTGAAAACTGCGCTAACCGGAGGCGCGAGCGCCAGGCCAAGCGCAGTCCTGGCCTGAAGTCTTTTTTTTTTTTTTTGGGATCCTTGCCTCTTTTTTGACCAGTCTGGTTCTGCCGG